CGAATGGAGATTGTTCAGGATAAGTATGAGAACCTGTCACAGGAACTAAAGGAAGTCCGCGTGGAGGAAGACTTGTCTGTCCTCCGTCGTGCCAGTGTGGTAGGCATGACAACAACTGGTGCTGCGAAGCATCGGAATGTCTTGCAACGAGTGGGTCCTAAAATTGTGGTTGTAGAGGAAGCAGCAGAGGTTCTAGAATCTCACATCATCACCACTTTGAGCGCCAAATGTCAGCATTCATCCTTATTGGCGATCATCAACAACTCAGACCAAATCCCACCGTCTATCGCCTAGCTAAGGAATATAATTTGGACATTTCTCTCTTCGAACGGATGATAAATAATGGTGTGCCGTGTCAGTCTTTAGTCCAGCAGCATCGAATGCGTCCTGAAATCTCTACAATCATGAAAAACCACTTTTATCCAGAGCTGAAGGACCACGAAAGTGTGCAGTCGTACCCGAGTGTTGCCGGAATCAGATCGGATCTCTTTTTCCTCAGTCATGACATTGAGGAGCAAGATGTCGACGACTCCCGTAGCAAGTCCAACATTCATGAGACAGAGGTCTTGGTAGCCTTGTGCAAGTATCTAATTCAACAGGGTCAGTATCAGCCGACTCAGATAACGATCCTCACGACTTACGTCGGTCAGCTCTTCAACTTCAAACGGTGCATGCCAAAATCTGTCTTTAATGGTGTTCGCGTCTGCGCTTTAGACAGTTTCCAAGGAGAGGAAAATGACGTGATCTTGCTGTCACTGGTTCGTAGTAATCAAGAGGGCAACACTGGATTTTTGAAGGTGTCTAATTGTATGTGTGTAGCGTTATCCAGAGCACGGCATGGCTTCTTTTGCATCGGGAATTTCCGAGCTTTGGCTCAAGGAAGCACGCTGTGGAAGAACATTGTGCAAGATATGAAGGGGAGAGGTTTGTTTGGGAAACATTTGAGTTTGGTTTGTCATAATCATCCCGAAGCTATCACGAGGGTCGCCAAAGGACAAGATTTCCTCAGTGTACCCGAGGGTGGCTGCAACTTGGCTTGTGAATTTCGACTTGATTGTGGCCACAGCTGCGGTATGCTGTGCCATCCAACCGACCCTAAACACAAAGAGTACAGGTGTCTGAAGAAGTGTGAGAAGATCCTTAAGTGTGGCCACAGATGTCGACTGCTTTGCTTTCAGAATTGCAGCAAGTGCAGTGAAAGAGTGGACAAAACCTTGCCACGCGGACATCAGAAGACACTACCTTGTTATCAGAACCCTGATACAGCTAGGTGTTTGGAACGCTGTGAGAAAAGGCTTCATTGTGGGCACAGATGTCAACGACTGTGTGGAGAAGAGCCGTGCACGGAAGAATGTCCTGAGATAGCCTTCCGCAGTGACTGGCCTTGTGGACATGCTGTGCAGGTAAAGTGCAGCGACGGTCCAGAGAAATGTCCTAAGGAGTGTAGAGTGGTTCTGGAATGTTCTCATCCTTGTCAAGGTTCGTGTGGGGCTTGTAAGAGAGGCCGACTACACGTGCAGTGCAAACATAAATGCGACCG